AAAAAAAAGTTTCATCTTTACCTGAGAAATTTAGGAATTTACTTAATGGCAATTAAGCAATTTAAAAAATGTTTTATTATAAAATTATTGGTTTCCTATAAAAATACCTGAACTTTATGCTAAATGGCTGAAGAGGATACAGTAATAAAACTATCTAAAGTTGCGTTTTCTCAGATTGCTATTCTAAAGACTGTACACAACTAAATTATTCTGATTCATATTCCAATTACTATAATGAGTCTGGACTGAAAATATTTTATGTCTCTAAGAGCATTTTTGTGCATCATGGTTGCTATAAGCAAAGCAATGTGAACTAGCTAAAAACGCAGTTTTAAAACACATTACTCTGAGCTAGCTCCGATTTGTTTCTTTTGGAGTCTGGTACTTTCAATATTCTTTGGCAGCACTATAATTCAAACTGATCAATTCTTCTTCAATCTCCCTTATTCCATGTCCAATTTTCTCATGCTCACGAAGTAACTGAAAATACCATGGCATTGGTAAGGTGCACCTTTGTCTTCAAGAGGTCTTGTGCAGATTACCGTATATACTCGTGTATAAACTGAGTTTTTCACCACATTTTTAATGCAGTTTTTGTGATAAAATTAGGTGCCTCGGCTGATATTCGGGTCAGCTTTTACTTGAGTATATAGGCATTTCTTGATAACATTTTATTGGTCCAAGTTGTGAGAATTTTGGTCTTCTTTATATTGTGTTGTAATCCATACTGGACTACAATCCTTGATCTTCATTAGCAAGTGCTTCAAGTCCTCCCCACTTTCAGCAAGGTTGAACTGTCTGTATATCACAGATTAAGTCTTCCTCTACTCCTGACACATTATTCTTCATATAATCCAGCTTCTCTGATTATTTGCTCAATATACAAACTAAGTAAGATACAACCCTGACATACACTTTCCTCATTTTAAACCACTCTCCATGCAAATCAAACTGTTAAAAAATAAAATAAAATCACTAACGCCAAAAAACAGAGAGCATGTTTCAGAGTATCTTCTGCTATCTTTGCTGATCTTTTCTTTCATTCCTGTCCTTTTAAATAACTTTTAGCTTTCTTCATGAATGTTGTTCTTGATGTCCTCCCATAGCTCATCAGGTCTGTCATTAGTGTTCAATACAGCAAATCTGTTCTTGACATCTTAAAATCAGGTGTGATAGATTCAAGGTCATATTTCAGCTTTTGTGAACTTGTTTTCATTTTTCTCAGCTTCAACCTATATCTACATATATGCAAATACTTGATGATCTTTTCTACAGACAGCCCCTTGCCTGGTTTTAGCTGATATTGAGCTTCTCTGTAGCCTCTTCCCACAGATTTGGTCAATCAGGTTTCCATCTGGAGAAGTCCATTGCCTTTTGCATTGTTGAAAAAATGCTCTTTTGTATGATGAAGTCAATGGTCTTACAAACTTCTAACATGAGATCTACAGATTTGCTATTGGATGAACCACTTTTCTGTCAGCTTGTTTTACTGTGGTGGTTTGTGTGCTGCTGTGATGCTGGAGACTATGTCATTGGTATTTCAAATACCAGCAGTGTTTAACAGCTGATATTGACCTTCTCTATTCTTGCCTCTTTCCACAGATGTAGTCAATTTGATTTCTGTGCATTCTACCTGAATGCGGTCATGCACAAATTCACCATTCTGTTGTTGAAAAAAAGGTATTTGCTATGACCAAGTCTTAGTCCTGTAAAAATCTATCATGAGATCTCCAGCTTCCTTTCCATTAACAAAACCATAATTCCAACTACTATTCCTTCCTCTGTTTCCAACTTTTGAATTCCAATAGCATTAATTATCAATGT